AAATCGTTATCACCAAACCTCTTGAAATAAACATAAGGGTCTGCATTAAGTCTGTTGTATCCAAGGCACATAATGAAGGAATTAAATCTCTTATACCAATACCTTGGCGCCTGTTTTAGACCGTACAAAGATTTGTTCAACCTGCAAACCAAGTTCTTCTTTTCTTCTTCTTCAAAACCTTCAGGCTGGAGCATGTAAATTTCTTCTTCAAGAATTCCATGAAGAAAAACTATTTTAATATCTAGCTCTAGATGTAAGTTCAATGTAGCACACATTGTCAAGACTACTCGAACTGTTGTTAGTCGAACTACAGGAGAAAAAATTTCATTGAAATCAATACATTTATTTTGAGCATATCCTTTGATCACCAGTCTTGCACGATACCTCTCAACTTGATCGTCACCATTTCGTTTGATTTTGAAGACCCATTTGTTACCAATTGGCTTCCTTCCTTGTGGTAGTGGCACAAGGTCTCGTGTATTATTTTTATGAAGGGCTTCAATTTCTTATTGCATCGCCATCATCCGCAGTGAAGCATCTGAGTTGTTTATTGCCTCCTGGTATGTTGATGGCTCACCGTCCTCTGTTAAAAGGCAGTATGCAACATTTTCTTCTATAACATAATCTGAGTGTCAATTGAGACATCTTCTCATACGATCTGATTGACGAGTTGTTGGAGCTTCAAAATTCTCTGGTTCTTGTTCATCATGTGATGGTTCTGCTACAGAAGAATCTCCTTGTTCAACCTCCTTGTCCACATGTATATATGTAGTCTCCGACTATTCAACGCTATCATCGTCTTTTTTTCTTTGTAGTTTATATTCTATAAAGATAACATCCCTGTTAATGATCACTTTACAGGCAGTGAGATCCCACAAGTGATACCCCTTTACACCATCAGCATACCCCAAGAATTTGTATTTCTTGGATTTTGGATCCAGTTTTGAAATTTCTTGGGAGTTGTACATCACGTACACAATACTTCCAAATACATAGAGGTTTGAATAATCAGCTGGTTTACCAGTCCACATCTCCATTGGTCTCTTCAACTCTATTGCAGTTGATGAAGCTTGATTCACCAAATAACAGACGGTATTGACTGCTTCTGCCTAGAATGATTTTTCTAGGTCTGCATCCCTCAACATTGCTCTTGTTCTTTCTAACAAGGTTTTTTTCATCCGCTCTACCACTCCATTTTGTTGAGGAGTGTTCGCCACTGTGAACTGTCTTTTGATGCCTTTTTTTCTCCAAAATTCATCAAATTCTTCACTTGTGTATTCTCCTCCATTATCTGTTATGAAACACTTGATCTTATTTCCATAATCAAGTTCCACCCACGCTTTGAAGTTTTTGAAAGTTGAAAACACATCTGACTTCTTCTTAATAAGGTACACCCAACATCTCCTAGAGTAGTCATCAATAAATGAGACAAAGTATTTTGCTCCGCCTAGGGATGTAATTGGTGCTTGTCATACATCAGAGTGAACCAATTCTAGAACACTTTTGCCTCTAAAATTTGATGTGTTGAATTTCAACCGGTGCTGCTTACTTGTTATACAATGCTCACACAAAGTAAATGATACCTTTGTTAAGCATGGAAGTAGTTTTTGCTCCGCAAGGACTTTCATTCCTTGTTCTAACATGTGTCCAAGTTTCTGATGCCATAGCATTGCAGAATCTAAACTACATGAGGCAACAGAGGCTTCTGCTTCTAGCAAAGTCTTTCCCTTCAGCATGTACAAGTTTGTTGCTATCTTTTCTCCTTTCATCACCACAAGCGCTCCACGAAACACCTTCATGATTCATTTTTGTGTTTCAATCTTACTTGTCTAACAATCCGTAGGATAATAAATTTTTCTTCAGGTCTTTCACGTGTCGCACATCTCGAACAACTTTAATTGTTCCATCATACATCTTCAATTTGATGGTTCCAACGCCAATTATCTCTAAGGCATGATCATTGCAACTATACACAGATCCTTCTGAGACATGTTCATAATGATGGAACCATTCTCTTCTTGAGGTCATGTGATATGTTGCTCCCGAATCAATGAGTCATATATCTGTAAATCTTTTTCTGCCTTCCACGATGGTTGACACTTCACAACATAGATCATCTCCATCATCTGATGTGTTTGCGATATTGCCTTGTGGATTTGAGTTTTTTATTTAGACTCCAACAATCCTTCTTCAAGTGACCATTTTTTCCACAGTTGTAGCACTTTAAATTCTTCTTGCTCCTCGACTTCGATCTACCATGTTTGTGATTGCTGCTTTGGCCACGTTCTATTGATCTCCCTTTCATCGTTGTCAACGCTTCTGCTTGTTGCAGATTTACTTGTCTGTCTTCCTTGTTCTTGCGCTAATTTTCTTCTTGTAGAACAGCAACATCATCGAAGACTAGACTGGTAATATTACTGTTTGTTAAGTTGATGATGAGTTGATCATGCGAATCAGGTAGACTTTGAAGTAGAAGTTCAGTACGTTCTTGTTCTTCTATTGTACATCTTACGGATGTAAACTGAGAAAATAAAGTGTTCAGCGTGTTTAAGTGCTCCGTCACTGAAGTAGATTCTGGCATCCGGAGAGTGTACAATTTCCTCTTAAGGAAAATTTTATTGTGCAACGATGTGGCCTCGTACAATTTGGTGAGATGATCTCATATCTCCTTAGATGTCTCCTTCTCCCCGATGCTTGACAATACTTCATATGCTAATGCTAGATGAAAGTTTGTCATAGCATTCCCGTCCATTTCGATCCATTTTTGTTATTTGTGAAATCCACCGACCTTGCACTGATAGCTGCTAGACAACCGTATTTCCTCATGATGGCATTCATCTTCAATTTTCACAATGAGAAATTTTTCCTATTGAATTTTTCAATATCAAATTTCATTGTCATAGCTTCTATTACGGATAGCTCTCACTATTTCACTATTGTGAATAGTTCTCTAGAACCTTCAAAGAATGGGTAATACATTCTTACTTTCTTATGTTGGAGGATCCACCTTTTGGTGGCAACCACAAAGACAATAAGCATATATTACACACTTAAATCTGGCTCTGATTCCAATTATTGCAGAATACGACTATCGAATCGAGCAAAATCGCAACTGATAATTTGAAAAAATAAAAATGAAGATAAATAAGAAACAAATTTTACGTGGAAAACCTCTAAATAATATAGGGTAAAAACCACGGGCAACAGTAGAATAATTTTACTATGAGAAAATATGAATTACAACTTCTCTCGATCTACCAAGGAGAAAACAATGATAATTCTCTCTTGATAAAAAGGAGAAAAACAACTCTCAAGAAACTCTTTAAATTCTCTAGTATTTGGAGAAAGCTAGAATGATTTAGGATGGTTTTGAAGCTAAATGGGTTAGGGTATTTATAGTTGAAGCTTAATGATTAATCTTGTAAATACCCTAAAGTGCAAAGACTAAATTGTGTAAATTTACCATCCATTTTTCAACAATTGTAGGTGAAATTATTATTTTTTCAAATCACCTTTCGATGCCACCAATTTCGGTGGCACCATTTTTCAACAAGATCAAGTCGGGTCAGATTTATATTCCAAAAATTCAAATCGGGTTCAGAAGGAAGAGATATGTACTTCGGGTTGGGTGGAAGATATATATTTCAGGCCGAGTCGGGTTGATAAAAAATTCGATCTAACCCATTCCGTTGTCATCCCTACTCATTTTTATTCTCTGATATTTCTTTAGGTTATGAGTTATAGACCCACTAGGAACACCCTTTTTATTTCTCTTAGAACCCCTCACTCTTCTCCCATCTAAGTACTTAGAATAAGTGTTTTGAAAACCAGACTGGACCGGCCGGTTTAACCGCGAACCGCTACCTAGTCCGGTTCAATCTACACCGGTTGAACCGCTACTAGTGAACCGACCGAAACCGTTGAACCGTTCGAACCGGACCGGCTGAAAACCGGAAAAAACCACCAATTTTGTTTAAAAATAAAATAAACTAAACCAAACGATGTCATTTGTTAAACGAGCCAAGTCGAACTCGAGTATTGCTGAGCTCGACTCGAACTTGAAAACTTTAAAAGTAAGCTCAACTCGACTCAAACTCACGAGCTAAAAATTATCAAGTTCAACTCGAACTCGAAATATAATATTGAAACTTGAACTCGAAAAGGCTTGAACACAAAAAAAAAAATTAGAAGCTCGATTGAAGCCTAAAATTCGAGCTTGATTGAAGTGAAAGAATAGTTCACTCAATGCTCACCAAAAGGCTCCATGATTTTGAATGTCAAATTACCTCAATTATTTATAGAAGTTAGTTGGGATGCTCTTATATGTTTCTTAGACATGTGAGATTGTTTTGTTCTCATATTTTCTCTTTAGACTTTTGAGATGATCTTCTATGTTTCTTAGCTATGTGAGATTGTTTTTTTTTAAAAAATTAAACCAAACAATATCATTTTGTTATGCTTTTTTTAGCCCCAAATTTATTTTTTAATTATAATTATATAATTATATTTATTATTTAATATGTTTTACCTTAAATATTATGTTGTAGTTAATTTAAATCATTTTGTTTCACTTAATTTTATGGTTTTTAACTTATATATGTTATGACTTGCTTTGAATATGACTTGTGATATAAAAAATTATTTTTATTAAATATTTTTAGTATTTTTATTTAATTTTTTAAATAATTATGACGTCATCCGGTTCTTCCGACCGATCGGACCGGTTCGACCGGTTGAACCAGTGAACCGATAGCATGGTCGGTCCGGTTGTAAAAACCATGCTTAGAATTAAGATTAAATTTATAATTTAATATATAAAAAATTGAAAACCTATATGAAAGCATATTAGTGCTTGATAAGATAAATTCTAAAATTTTATAACAAACGTTTATTACATTTCGCAAGTAAAAAAATGGTCAATGCTGAGCTCCTTAAAGGATGACATTATCTTAATGTCAGCGTCCATCTTCCTTGGGCTCCTCATTAGTAGCTGCTCTGCACCTCTCTGCTCTTTCCATCCATCCCCCTCTTTATTTCCTTATTTTCTTTAACAAAATAAAATTAAGCCAACCAGAGCCACGTTCCCACTCGCTATGTACGGACAGCCAACATTCTCCTCCTCCTCCGAGTTTCTCTGTGACTTACTGACATATCCCCACGTCATGTCGTCGCCGTTAAGTCCGCTATCTCAACTCACTGTATCCAACTCAGCGACCGAGGTGGTTCAGAGCAGCAGCAGCGGGAGTTACAGTTCCCCGAGCTCGCTAGCGAGTTGCTGCACACAGAGACCCCTTCAAAGAAATGAGCTTCGTTGTCGTTTTGCCTCAAGCCTTAACGACTTCATTGACTCCGGTTCTGGTCCGGTGAGGAGAGTTTTCAGTACCGGTGATCTGCACCAGGTTAGTTATATAAACAAAATAAATTTATATTCTAACTTAAAACTCTATTATCTTTCCTAACAGCAATATTATAATTATAAATTAAAACATAAAAATATATTTAAAATATTCAACTAAAAATTATAGAACAAAATTTCTTAAAAGTTTTAGCTTGAGGTGAGATTAAGAGTTTAGTTCAAAAATGATAAAAAAAACTATACAAATATTTAAAATTAATGAAATTTTTTTACATAATAGACTTGAATATAGCTTGTACGTTTTACATTGGGTTAATTACATTAGATCATCCCAAAACTATTGCTCAAAACTTAAATTGATCCTTAAACTTCAACACGTTCTAATTTGATTCTTCCGTCAATGTAATTGTTAATTTAAGTATTAAATGATAAAAAATTTAAATGCAGAGAGTCAATTGTGCAATTAATTTTATATTATGCCTTAAATTTATGATGATGATGGTGGGCAGGTTCAGCAATGTGGTAGGAGGGCAGAGAGTCAATTGTCTGAGAGCAATGCAATCATTGAAGGAATGAGCAGAGCCTGCCGCTACAGTCCCCAGGAAAAGAGAGAGAGGATTCAAAGATACCGAACCAAAAGGAATCACAGGAATTTCAATAAAAAGATTAAGGTATCTTAAACCTTAATTCCATTGATTTCCTTGTTATTAATACTAATCAGTATTTATGGCAGTATGCATGTAGGAAAAGATTGGCAGACAGCAGGCCACGCATCCGAGGGCGGTTCATAAGAAATACAGAAATTGAAAACGATCCTCAAGTTGAATGGAGCCGCTTAGATGAAGATGATGATATTAGTTGGATTGCCTTTCTAGATATTCACTCCCACCAACTGCTTCCTAATCCTTAATTCTTCTGCTTCTTTTTCTTTACAATTTATGTTTAAGTCTTTCAAAAGGGTGTTGTAAATATGTTTGGTTGCATTATCCATACCAGACTATGCAGAATACCAAGCTTTATATAAATGGCAGACAAGACGACTTGCAGAAACAAGCAATAGTTTCAAGTTTTTTTATGGCTTTAACACCAGTTTTTTTATCATATCCAAATTGTTATTATTTCTTTCGATTTTAAATTTCTTATCTTATGTAATATTTAATAAGAAAAAGAAAAAAAAAACCTTTTTTTTAATTTAACAATGCCGAATCTCATTTTAAAATTTTGGGGTAAAGTATACAAATAGTCCCCTGATTAGGATATTACTTTGTTGAGTCTCCCGACTATTAAAAGCTACAAAATGATCATCTGACTATTCATTATGTTCTAAACTCGTTATTTTCCGTTAAAAATTTAACAACAAACTGAGTTGGACGTTAACCTGCTAATTGAGATATGATAAAATCTGATCTCATAATCTCAAACGACTATCATATCTCAGTTAGCATGATAACTTCTAGATTAGACGACCAGTAATTTTTTTTACAAAAAATGATGAATTAGAAATATAATGAATAATTGAGTGATCATTTTGATACTTTTAATAGTTGAAAGACTCAACAAAATAATTCTATTTAGTCGAATAACTACTTTTTAACTTTTAATAATTATAAACTCAATAAAATAATTTCAAACAATATCGTATAGTCACCGCGCGAGAAAGAATAGCTAGAAGTTCAAGTCACCGCGCGAGGATTTACATATATGCTTATTCTGCTTTTATTTTCAATGATTTTATGCGGAAGAAAAGTCCATATGAGTAGCAAAAGATAAGGGTAAAATAGGGTTTTTAAAGATTGAGGGAGGTTTAAAGAGATGTGACAAACGGCCCACTATTTTGACCGACTATTATTGTCAAGCGACATCAATATTATGTTATTTTTAATAACGAAAGTTAATAATTAATGATATAAATCGATAATATTAATAATTAATTTATTATTTTTAAAATTTTAATATAAAAAAAGAAAATTTACACAAACATTAATGATAATTTTTGTAGTTTACCCTTTTTTATATGTAAACTTATATATTGGAGTTCAAGTCAAGGGAGTAGCATCTATGAGAAATTTGTCCACACCATTACATGGTACAATACCTTGGTTACCTTTAGTAGAGATGTAAATTTATAGCACTCTTATTAAATTTTTGGTTTGCAAATTATATTTATATATTTTATTTTATTGTTTTGTTTATTAAATAGAGCTTCAAATTTATATTCTATTGTTTTGAAAGCTTGACTCAGTATGATTTAAACTCATTTCATAATGTTTCGTAGATTTTTGAAGGATTAAAAGTAAACAAAGATGGTTGGTAATTTGTCGGTCGTTTCAATGATTTAATGTGATATTTTCAGAAGGTTTAAGAGTTATTTTTTGTTTTTATAATTGATTAAATTAATAATTTTCGTCTCTATGATATTTTCACATCAATTTAGCCTATGAAGTTGTTTAAGGGCATCATCCTAACCCTCAAAGTTCATTGGCCGTTTTGACTAGCATAACCGTTATTCTTATGCATATGTGGATTAAGGGATTATGTTAAAATATTTATTAAACACAACAATTAAAAAAATTCTCAAAATTTTATTATTTATTTAAGTGAGATTAAGGAATTAGGTTAAAAATTTTGGAGATTTTTTCTAACTGATGTATTTAATAACTATTATAAATATTTTATTATTTATTTTCTTAATAAATTTCACGTCATCATCAAGCCACATCAGCAATATTGGCTGACATGAAAATTGTTAGCGTCCACAAATGCAGAAGACTAACGATTTTGTTAGTTAAAACAGATTTTGATGGCTAGGATGATGTTCCTAAACAACTTCGAGTGCTAAATTGATGCAAAATTACCATAGGGACGAAAATATAAAGTAGGTCTATTACAAAGGTAGAAATAACCCTTAAACCATTTCAAAAATATTAGATATTTTGGGTCAGATTTGGGATATTATACTTAAAGTAATTTTTTAATGATGTATCATTATATGATTCAATGATAATGTATAGAATTATACACAACTGATACATCAAACTTTCACTCATTAAATAATAATATTAAGGGTAAGTATCCAAACTATTACCCAACTTTTAGATTGTTATCAATTTAGTCAATAAAATATTTGCAATTGAATCACTTAACTTTTAGGACACTATATGAATTTAGCCATTGTCATTAGAAAAAAAAACTTCCATTTCAGTCATCAACGTTAAATATTCCAATGCATTTTGCTTCAACATGTCATCTTTAATAAGAAAATGACATGTACCGTCATCTAAATGGTGACACAATGAGATAAAAATAAATTTCCAAGTTCCAAGCTTAAGTTATGAACCTAAATCCTTTATTTTAACCTCCAATGCACAACCACTCCTTCCAGTTGATGTAAAATACTAGATTTACTTTGACAAGTTCTGGTTAACAAAAGTGCAGATGAATCGGATCCATATATGAGCACATAAGTTCAACATATGTTAAGTAAAAAGTCAATAATTTATAATGAGAATGTTGGCAGATGCACCAACAAAAAAGGGCACAATAATATCTTGTATATGAATTGCCATTTTCTATCTTGTGGTGAATTTTTTTTTCTTCCCAAGAATTTTAACAACTCAAATGGAATTACAACTTCATATTAATTATTAAATAGCATGTGAATATAAGGGGAAAAGGAAGAAAAAAAAGATCTTTCCAAGATCTCTGTAATCATTTTAATTAAGAAAAATACTTTCAAGAGAAACCCAATTTGATTAGCAAAACAAAGCACCAAACAATGGTTCCATTCATTGTATTTTTCAAGAGAAAAATACTTTACAAAGGAGTAATTATTGTCTTAATGTAATTAGTTGATAATTACTAGAATCAGAATTTTACTTTTTTTATTATAACCATTAGTATATGATGTTTTGATTGACTAATCTAAATCGTATATTATAAAGGTTCATTATAGGTAACCCTCATACCCCAATTTTGTTCCATTCATAAGGTTAGGATTCAAGTCTTGAGTTTGTTTAAGAAATTTAATGTCTCGTTCTTTTAGACTATATGGTTATTGGTCGAATTTTACTCTCTTCCGTTAAAAGACTATTGCATTACTCTTTTGCGGCAACCCCCGGAGGTGGGAAAGGCGTCGGTAGCGGGCGGCTGTGGGTTGCCCACTAATAAGTACCTTTGCTGCATTGGGAAATGACATTAAACAATAAGATTCTAAGAATCCAAGGTTCCCACTATCTAAATTTCAAGTGTAATAAACGATAAAGCAAGTACCTCAATCTGTTGATTATCCTTCTGGTACCTTGAGAACTTCTAGTGCCATCTAAATCTGGGTCTAATAAGAGCATAAGTGTTTGGAAGATGGCCTTAATCCAATGCAATTCCATGCCATTTGGAAGATGCCTGCCATCTCAATGATAATGGTAAAAACCGATTAGTCTTAGTGGTGATAATTAGCAACTTTTTTGCCGTAAACTTGGCTGGCTTCTATTTTCACAAAACGACGCAAGTGATCGCATTGACTGTATATATATGATTTATAAATAATTTATTTATGGTAATTTTAGAAATTATAACATAATTTTTAAAACTTAATGTTGTATATAATTAAGGTTTAATTTTTTTTAATATAATAACTAACTATAAAAATTGAATTTTATAGGTCACTTTCTTGTTATTTCTTTATTACTGTGGTGAGATATATTTTTATTTATTTATAGGCAAACAACATTGCTTTCATGTTTGTGTCGATATGTTAATTATTTATAAATTTTGGTGACAAAAATAGAAGATAGAACAAAGTTGAACGATGATATATGTAATTTATCTAAGAATTTATTAAAAGTAGTCAGTTTTTATATAAAAAAACATTCTAGTTGAGAGTTAAAATAACCACTCAAAGAAATTGAGTTTATCTGCCAAAATTAGAATAATTTGGAACCGAAATTGATTATGTTTCTGGTAATCTGTTATAGCAAAACTCGAGTCTAATCATATCATCAACATTGAAGTAAAATTTATACATTATTCAACCATACGATGCTCAACCTTCAAACAGAGACACCAATGAATACGTAGCAAACAAATCAAACTTCTCCAAAGGAATTTGTTCCAATTTTAACCAGAAATTTCAACAGATTTGATCTCAGCTTTTTTCATCTCAACCTTAGGGACTGTAACAGTAAGAACCCCATTCTCCATAGAAGCCTTCACATTTTCCGGCAAACTAAACCTCGTGGGGAATGCTCACATGAGGCTCTTAATATACGGTTAAAAAAAGACGGTATCAATTTTGTTATTGGCTAAAAAAAAGCGGTACCGATTTTATTATTATTGTGCATAATAAAACCGGTAAAAATTACTGAAAACATCATTATTTCTACTGGTTTTGTTATTATTTGACATGTTACCAGGTAAAAATATACCGGTTTTGTTATTGTTGTGTATAACAAAACCGGTAAAAATTACCGAAAATATTATTGTTTTAACAAAACAGGTAAAGCGCTACTGGTTTTGTTATTTTTTACCGGTTTTGTTATTGTTGGGCATTTTACCGGAAATGTTAAAAAATATTGATGTTTTAGGTAGAAATAATAATGTTTTAGGTAATTTTTACTGGTTTTATTAACCCAACAATAACAAACCCGATAAAAATAAACTTTTTTAATGATAAAATTAGTAAACACAAATTATACAATATTATAAAAAATTATTTATTATAAACATCAAATACAATAAAATAATATTATTTATTAATAAAATAATAATATTATTTTTAAAATATTAGAATAATTTATTTATTATTATTTATGTCAATATTACTATTAAAATATTATATCTATAATTTTATAAATAAAAAATTATGATTATTATATTTTATTAAAATAAAATTATTATAAATTATATTTATTATTTATTATAATAAGAATAATATATCATTAATTATATTATAATGAGAGAATAATGAAACATATGTGTCGATACATTTTCAAAAAGTATCGAAATATATGTTACATCGAAACCGATAATTATAATGTAATAAGTAAATTTATAATATAATCGGTATAAATATACCGATTTTATGAGAGAATAGGTCAACATAATGTATCGACACAAATTTAAAAAGTGTCGATATATTTTATCCAGAATGAATGCCAAACGAGGTGCATACATAAAGTGTCGATACATTTATTAAAAGTATCGATCCCAAAAATATCGAAACCGATAATTACAATGTAATAGATAAATTTACAATGTACTCGGTATAAATATACCGATTTTATGATAAAATAGGTCTACATAATGTATCGACATATTTTAAGTTTGTGTCGATACTTTTTTCCAGAATGAATGCCCAACGAGGTGCACGCATAAAATATCGATACATTTAAATTTGTATCGATCCCAAAAACATCGAAACCGATAATTATAATGTAATAGATAAATTTACAATGTTTATTTTAAAAATAATATTATTATTTTGTTAATAAATAATATTATTTTATTGTTATCCTTAATAACATTTTAAGTGTTTACCTAATATGTTGTAATAACAAATTAAATAATTAACAAAATAGTGTTATATAAGCGGTTATTACTTAACTTGTACGTTATAAAAAGTATTAATGAATATAAATATCGACATATTTTAAGTTTGTGTCGATACTTTTTTCCAGAATGAATGCCCAACGAGGTGCACGCATAAAATGTCGATACATTTAAAATTGTATCGATCCCAAAAACATCGAAACCGATAATTATAATGTAATAGATAAATTTGCAATATTTATTTTAAAAATAATATTATTATTTTGTTAATAAATAATATTATGTTATTGTTATCCTTAATAACATTTTAAGTGTTTACCTAATATGTTGTAATAACAAATTAAATAATTAACAAAATAGTGTTATATAAGCGATTATTACTTAACTTGTACGTTATAAGCGGTTATTACAATTCATAAATAATTTATTTTCAAATAATATTCTTATTATATTACATTGTAAACTTAATTACAAGATGTAATTATTTTTTCCGTTAATAAATGAATATAAAAAATATTATAATCAATTAATGTAGTTTTTTTTATAACGTACAAGTTAAGTAATAACAAAATAATGTTATTATATTATAATAAACGAACAAATTATTTTAAAATAACAAAATAATAATTAACTAGTTATGTTATTTTTGATAACATTTTAAGTGTTTACCTAATATGTTGTAATAACAAATTAAGTAATTAATCTATTTTATTATATAAGCGCTACCTATTACGTTATATAAACGCTACCTAATATGTGATTGTGCTTGATAATGTTTCTAGTAATTAACTTATTTTATTATATAAGTGTTACCTATTACATTATATAAGTGGTATCTAATATGTTATTGTGTTTGATAATGTTTCTAGTAATTAATCTATTTTATTATATAAGCGTTCCCTATTACATTATATAAGCGTTACCTAATATGTTATTGTGTTTGATAATGTTTCTAGTAATTAACCTATTTTATTATATAAGTGATACCTATTACATTATATAAGTGATACCTAATATATTATTGTGCTTAATAATGTTTCTAGTAATTAACCTATTTTATTATATAAATGATACTTATTACATTATATAAGCGGTACCTAATATGTTATTATACTTGGTAATATTTCTAGTTAAATGATATAACATAATCGATCTAAATTTTAACTGATAACTTATTTAACTGATCACGCCGTTTTTTAAACGCCGCACAGCATAACTTCTCAAACCTTCTAGAGAAATTCCCGTTACTCCTCTCCACTCGATGCCACATGTCATTCTTGTCTTCCTTCTCCACGTGCCTCTCCCCACTGATTTGAAGCACCCTATCGTCTTCAATCTCCACCTTCACTTCCTCTTTCTTCAGCCCCGGAAGGTCCGCCTTGAACACGTGTGCGTTCGAAGTCTCCTTCCAGTCCACACGGGTGTTGACGAAAGCGGAATTTTCTCGGGAAAGTTGAGGGAATGATATGAGCGTTCCGGAATTGAATTCCTTGAATGGATCCCATAAATCCATCGAAAATGGGTCGAAAAGGCTGTTGCGTCGTCGATTGCCGAACAAGTTAGTAATCATTGCCATTTTTGAGCGAAAGTGAGCGTTTGGATGCCAAGAAAGTTGTTTAACAAATTTTTCTGTTCTCGGATTTTAATGGTATACGGGCCAACTATAAACTGGGTCATATATAGTGAGGAAAGGAATATCTAGTAACTTCGAGAATAACCGTTTCAAGTTTGAAACTTTGGAACAGTGAAAGTTACCGACATTGCAGTTGAAGCGTGGAACAAATACATGCTGGATTTGCTTCAGGATAGTGGTCCAGGACTTCAATTCTTTATGGGTTTAGCCAATAGAATCAGCCCAATTATAAATGGGCTTAAACTTAAATTAGTTTTCTCATAAGCTGTTTCAAGTTTCAGGTTTCCATATGTAGATTTTTCATTTAAATTTTATTTTGATCCAAGTCTTATTATATATGAGTTTTATCTTAATATAGTTTGATTGTTAGTACGATTGTTTGGATTTAATCTTTAAATTATTTTTTCTTATAAGTTGTGTTACGGACTTTAAGAAATGTAGTTTGAACCAAATGATTAAGTATTGGAATCTTTAACGTATCAGATTCGATACTATCATATGTAACTTTTTAGTTTAAAATTTTATTTATTAATTTGATTATATCTTATAATGGTTTATTTTTATTTGTATTTATAATGATAATTATATATATAATTTAAAAAGAATAAAAAAATTATTCGTTAGACAAACCTATCAGTAATAGATCTATATGTAATTGAAGGCGGACACATGTTCACTTTAAAATCTAATTTTTTTAATAATTATTTCACTAATAGTGTTTATCTTTTTTTTAGATAAAATATATATATTAAATCCAAAACAAAGAATATTACTATCCCAAGAGTACTTAACAAAAACCAAGGGTTCACCTCGCCACGCCCCAATCAATACACAGTTGGAGGCTCAATCTATCCCTAAATTCTCCATAAAACTTAGCTTGCACAATCTCCTTAATGAAATACACTATACAATATTTAGTCAATCCAACATTTTCAAAACATCTTCTATTCCTTTCAATCCACACAAAGCAAATGAAAGCATTTCAAACAAGCCTAAAAATAGTGGTCGAGCCAGACTTACCTCGCGCGTGAGAACACATCCAGACCACCTCGTGTTCTCAGGCAGGCAAGTTACCGACGATGGACATTACACATAGTTAAAAAGTCTCCCAAACAAAAACCGAAAAAAGGCAGTCAAAGAACGCATGAGCACAAGACTCATAAGCACTATTGCAAAAGACACCCCCAACCACATATATCTCCATGCATAGGAGTCTATCACGAGTAGACAATATGTTAAGTAGCGCCATTCTCACAGAGATAGCATGTCTCGAAACGTGCATCAGGAACCAAACCAATTCGCTTCCTTGACCCTGAGCTCAGCCCAAATCCGCCTCATACCACAATCGTCCAAACGATTACCCAAATTACTAAAAATAGTAACAGCCTCCCCTAAAATATTTTTTTTCCTTAATGTCTCAAATTACCCAAACGACCACGACCACGACTCGAGACGGGACGGCGGCGGCGACGCGCGAGAGTCCCCCTTGTTCTCTTCCACTCAACAAGGAAGTAGGAAATCCAAGCCTTAAATACCCATTCCCAATAGTGTTTCTAATACTATGTGGGATTGAGCATTGCCAACACTTATGAATCTTTTACACTATCGCAACACATTCTTTATTGTTTCAAACTCCACGTGAATTTGGAATAGTTAAAATATAAACTTATTTTGGATTTTTCACTATCGCAACACTTTTTCACTATCGCAACAACACGTTTTTCAAACTCTCGCAATACATTTTAACTATCGCAATACATTTTAATTATCAGAATACATTTTTCAAAATCGCGTTACGAATCTGGATATTCGCGTTGCGAATTTGAAAACTGAGTTGAAAAATTAGAGTTCGCGTTGCGATTTTGTTGGTCATTTTGGTAAATTCAAAAAAAGTTGATTAAAATCGTATATTATAAGACATTTTCGGTCACTGAAATTATTTTCTCGAAAAATAATGTGGTTGAAATTAACTTCTAATTTTTACCACAACACCTATCCGCGAAGATTCTTATCTTCTCATCTCATCCCTCCATTTGATCTCATCGACGGCTTTAATTCATCATCACACATATCACACGGATCGACTTCCAAACTCAACATTCCACACTTTTTCATATAAATACCCCACTAGTTTTGCTGAAATCCTCAAATCTCATTGTCTCCATAAAAATTCTCTGAAATCTCCATTTAGCATTCAAAATGTCAGGAAGAGGAAAGGGCGGCAAGGGATTGGGAAAGGGAGGAGCGAAGCGCCACCGTAAGGTCCTCCGTGATAACATCCAGGGAATCACGAAGCCTGCAATTCGTCGTTTGGCTCGAAGGGGAGGAGTCAAGCGTATAAGCGGCTTAATATACGAGGAAACCCGTGGTGTTTTGAAGATCTTCTTGGAGAACGTGATTCGGGATGCCGTCACCTACACCGAACACGCGAGGAGAAAGACTGTTACTGCTATGGATGTGGTTTATGCGCTGAAGAGGCAGGGCAGGACTTTGTACGGGTTTGGGGGTTAGATGATTTAGGGTGATGTTTGGGGGTAATTTGAATTCTTAATGTTAAAAATGTTTTGAGCCTACGGCCAGGGGTTGTATTTAGGGGGATTTTATTGGGATTATTCTGAATTTATATGTTCGTACCAGTTTATGCTCTTCTGTGATTTGTAATTCATGCTTCGAATTGCAGATTTCAATGAAATTCCAACTTCATATCGTTAAGTTTAATTTTTTTTTTCATTTGTTTTGTACAAGTTTATTTTTTTTTCTGGTTTATTGTCATGATGGTGAGATTGAAAGGGTCAAATTTTGATTTTGCTTTAGAAGTTATAATTTTAATTAGTTGAAGTTGTAACATTCATAATTACTCTTATTAAAAGTGTACTAACTGCATGCTTCCAAGTATCCTCATTGCGTCCGAACTATAATTCATATTTTTCTGGTGTCTTAAGGAAATCACAGTAGATAAGGCCCAATTGCAACCTAGAGTAACTTAAGGGTCGAGACTTCTCTCCTGGTAACATACAGAAAAACCCACATTGGCATTTATTTGTTGCTTAATTAACTTAAAAAAAACTGAGATTTTATTAAATAAATAATAAAGTAGAATAAAGATAATACAATCCTAACATAAAAATTAAGTGTGAAAAAATAAAACCAACAATCTTTTTTGAATATATACTTCATCTTCAACAATAAACTCTTTGTCTCTAGTCGAACTTAGATATAATATTGATGAAAGTATGTGGATTTAGATAAACGGTTGCAAAAAGAGATCTACTATGAAAGATTGTTGATCTTATAATACGAAATATTAAACTATCATAACAATTGTTAGAGAAAATAATAACATAAAAACAGAGGAACAAACGTGCAATGAAAGTAAATGGAAATCAAACTATTCAAAAATATGTGAAAAAATCAAAATAGTAATGATTATTTAGATTTGAATCAAAAGAAAAAATAAAAATGATAAGAAAAACAACAACACTTAAATTACCGTCTCTTGCGATAATTTAAAAGAAAAACTAGATAATCACTGTAAAAAAAAACTAAGGTATTCCTATAAACTTTTCTTACATGTTAATTAAATTTGAACCAATCTTTACCATCTGCTTGTTGAATGGTACTATATTATTCTGATTAGAGCTAAGCTAGGTTCACAGTTTGATCATCGACTCAGAACATACATTCCTAAGATGTTTTTAGGCCTAAAGTTTCAACATGACAGGATCCACCATTAATTACCTCTATCATTGCTTACCAAAATAAATAAATAAATAAATCTCAAATGACAACGACTCATAATTCTCATTTAGTTTGCCTCAAACGTCTCGATTTTCAAAAATATTGGAAGCACACAAACATCAAATATGGAAGATTTTATTATTACTTGTTTGCCAACATATATAACAATCAAGTTATACAGGTTTTTATTGACAAATATATCCAAAATCCGAATTACTTGGATTGTCAGGACAGACCCAAAATGACAATATCGCTTTCTTCCATGCATACACTCACCAGGTAATGCCAACTCATTGCATTTTTCATTAGAAAAAGGAAATCAATTTATAACTCTCCTATACGAAAATTTCTCCCTTATATATCTCTTCAGGATCTTTCATTTGAAGCAGCCTTTCACTCTTTCTATAAACCCTGATTCCTACATACACCTAATGGCCTCAACCTGTATTTCAACCTGCATCGATGACACTAAGGTCTCAATCAGGCCAACCTACGCGAACCTCTACAAGTGGCCGGAATCAGACGCCGAGTTTGTCAGGTCACTGAGATCCAACGGCAGTAGCCGAGGCGGCCCTGCACATCCCACCATTGTTGACAGCATTTCTTGTAGGCAAATGTACCTGAGGAGCTACACGTTTCATAGGAGCGATGATGATGATCAAACCCAGCCTGAAAAAACAAAATGTTTTGGCAGATTTCATAAAGAAAAGGTGAAGAGTCCTAGAAGTAAAAACATGTCCAAAACTGTTCCCAACAAGTGTGTGGCGCTCAGAAGGGCCAAATCAGTCTCTTGTCCCGCCCTATTGGCCATATTCCGTCGGCTTTTGCTCTGCACCACCAAGTTTGATGTGGCTGATCATGGAGGTTGAACACTATTTTTATCAGTTTCAGCCCTCAAGGCTTCCTTTCTTTTGTTTCTTTTTAATAACTTTCTAACAGTTTAATCAGTTTGATAGGCTCCTCCCCCCAATCAGGATATGCTAATGGTAAAATTGCAGAGAGCATTCTTATCAACGATTGGCTTTATATTTATATTCTGGTTGCAAAGAAATCATCATATGTAAAATTTATCCATTTCCGCCATTATAATTATTTGTCAAATCCATACTCATTGAGTGATTGTGGTTTTAGTGATAAAATGAAATGTTATTCTTAATAAAGGATTCGGATTCAAATACATGTGTTTGTAAAATATGTGTACATTCTCATTAACTCATAAAAATTCTAAACATATATTATCTTATAATCATTTTATACTAATAAAAAAATAAAAAACACTATTGGCCAAGCTAAGCGCAGCAGGCAGAAGCATGCACAGGCTTACAACAGCCAGTTCAATTCCATGTTTATCTCGCCACTTTGTGCCTAATGATTTGTTTATTTCCCATTATTTAATTCAATAATGGGCTTCACTAAGCTAGAAAAAAGATGATATAAGCTCTATAGGGCATGAAATTTTCTTTGACTAATTGCAGTTCTTAAAATAGGTTTGACTAGCGGGTTTAAAATTATTTTTTAGGGTAAACACACATATTAATAATATAAAATTTTTATATGGTTGGACACAAATAAAATTTTAAGGTGAATACATGTCAACCCTAAATAAAACATACGTCCATAATCCACCATTCGGTTTGAGGTTGACCTTAACTATGGAATAAACAATTTTGAAAACTATTTTTAAGTGCAAATGGGGACCAAAAGAGAGTATTGGTACTTACAAAGCAAATTTTATTGGGTTGATCTATAATGATGTATGATGCTAAAACATCACTGGAAATTAGTGTGAAGAGCCTAAAGTAGGTAAACTAATAGTATTATAATATTTCTATATTTTAACTGCCTAAAGAACAGATTAGTTATTACAAGATCTCCAGGGATTTGCCGATGGCGTTAACACTTTTTTTCCTCAATATTGTGGGACATACAACAGAAAAAAAAAATAGCAAATACTATGATGACTTAGACATTATTGCAATTTCTTCTGGTGATGATGAGAGTAGGTTAACTGTTGAGGACAATATTTCCTAAGAAAATAAATGAAAATAAATTGACAGCTCGTGTATCTTATCTTATTTTATGTTATATTTATCGTTTTTATATCGTGATTATCAAATCTAACTATGGGTTAAGTTTTATAGAGAAGTGCCGTAAAAAACTTAAAGCTAAACATAATGTCATCAATTCGAAGTCTTTGAGTTAGTTCTCATATGCCCATTTCTAGCCTACAATAGTCCCAAGGCTGGGCTAGATCAATAAATATTGATGGAAAATGATGTGCATGTGCATTCATGCTCCCCCATCATTCATTGCTGCTGGTGCAATCTGTTTTAATAATGTTGTTTGAGTGTTCTTTCAATAAAGAGAAAATTCATCTCATTTGCTTGCGTTGGTCTGAGTACTTGAGTTCCTTGCAACAAAAGTACGAAATTTATCAGCAAATTTCAAAAACAAGATTCTTATCCGATAACTCAGCTCTGGTTTTTGGGTTTGTCCCGTGTACCAAAACCAGGAAACTCGATAACAATCACACTGCAATTTACGGTTGCAGATATTATTGTGTAGAAGAACCAATTGCAGAGAGGATGAACAATGTTTAATAAAAAAATGCAACTTTTCTTTATGCAAAAGTCATCAAATATCACTCAAATGGACGGAGCCAAAACTAAATATTGTCAAGAGCTGAAATATTGGACTATTTAAAAAAATATAAAGACTTATTAAATATTTAGACTCAAAATTCAACATGAACTAAGCAACCTTAATGATTAAGGGATTGTTGTTATCCTTGATGTCTCAAGTTCGTGTTGCGGAAGACGGCTATCGGATAGAGCAAAATCGCAACTGATAATTTGAGAAAATAAAAAATAGAGAAAAAGAGACGCAAAATTTACGTGGAAAACCCCTAAATAATATAGGGTAAAAACCACGGACAACGGTAGAAGAATTTCACTATGAGAAAATAGGAATTGCAACATCTCTCGATCTACCAAAGAGAAAACAATAATAATTCTCTCTTGATAAAAAGGAGAAAACAACTCTCAAGAAACTCTCTAAATTCTCTCTAGTATTGGAAGAAAGCTAGAATGCTTTGGGATGGTTTTGAAGCTAAATGAGCTAGGGTATTTATAGTTGAAGCTTAAGGACTAATTTATAAATACCCTAAATTATAATTACTAAAAAAGAGATTTAACCATTGTCCAAATTCAATCAAAAATTTCGGTGCATTAATTATGCCACCGAAAGTTGTTTTGGCCATGTGGCCAACTTGGCTTTTTCAACAATCTCCCACTTGAAGATTTGATTGGAACAATCATATCTTCACACCATTCTTTCTACTTTGTACCATCATGTTGCTTACGTCTCTAACAGGCCACAAAAGGATCGACATCGAGTAAATGTATCAGCATTTACCGCCTTTGTCATGAAATCTGCTATGTTGTCTTTGGTATGGATCTTCTGCATATCTACCGTCCCTTCTTCCACATTTTCACTAATGAAATGGTACTGAACTCGTATGTGTTTTGTCCTTGAATGAAATGCTGGATTCCTTGCTAGATGCAAGGCGCTTTGACTGTCACAAAATAGAGAGACATACTCTTGATTGTATCCAAGCTCCTCCAATAGCATCTTCAACCAAATTGCTTCTTTGCTGGCTTGTGTAGCTGCTACATATTCTGCTTCTGTTATGGACGTAGCCACAACTTACTGCAATTTTGAAACCCACCTTACAGCTCCACCAGCAATTTTGAACACATATCTTGTAGTAGATTTGCTTTTATCCAAATCCCTTGCATAGTTAGAATCTACATACCCATTGATTAGTAAGTTTGATCCTCCGTAACATAATGCAATATTTGAGGCCCCTTTGATGTATCTCAAGATCCTCTTTACTGTATTCCAATGCTCTTTTCCTGAATTCGCCATGTACCGACTAACCACTCCCACTGCTTGTGCAATGTCTGGTCTTGTGCAATGTCTGGTCTTGTGCATATCATAGCGAACATTAAACTTCCCAGTGCCGATGCATACGGTACTCGAGACATCTCCATCCTCTCTTCTTCAATTCTAGGACTCATATTGGAGGATAATCTGAAGTTAATAGGAATAGGGGTAGAAATTGGCTTACAATCTTGCATGTTGAACCGTGAAAAGATCTTCTTCAAGTAATTCTTTTGTGAAAGCTAAATCTTCCTATTACTTCTGTCTCGGTGAATTTGCATCCCTAAAATCTTGTTTGCTGATCCTAAGTCCTTCATTTTATATTCCCTAGCCAGTTGTGCCTTTAATTCTTCAATATGATCTTTATTGAGTCCTGCAACCAACATGTCATCCACATACAACAATAATATAACAAAATCGTTATCACCAGACCTCTTGAAATAAGCACAAGGGTCTACATTAAGTCTGTTGTATCCAAGGCACATAATGAAGGAATCAAATCTCTTATACCAATACCTCGGCGCCTGTTTTAAACCGTACAGAGATTTGTTCAACCTGCAAACCAAGTTCTTCTTTTCGTCTTCTTCAAAACCTTCAGGCAGGAGCATATAAATCTCTTCTTCAAAATTTCCATGAAGAAAAGCTGTTTTAACATCTAGCTGCTCTAGATGTAAATTCAATGTAGCACACATTTCCAAGACTACTCGAACTGTTGTTAGTCGAACCACAGGAGAAAATATTTCATTGAAATCAATACCTTCTTTTTGAGCATATCCTTTGACCACCAGTCTTGCACGATATCTCTCAACTTGATCGTCACCATTTCGCTTGATTTTGAAGACCCAATTGTTACCAATTGGCTTCCTTTCTTGTGGTAGTGGCACAAGGTCTCATGTATTATTTTTATGAAGGGCTTCAATTTCTTCTTGCATTGCCATAATCCATAGTGAAGCATCTGAGCTGTTTATTGTCTCCTGGTATGTTGATGGCTCACCGTCCTCTGTTAAAAGACAGTATGCAATATTACCTTCTATAACATAATCTGAGTGCCAATTGGGACGTATTCTCACACGATATAATTGACGAGTTGTTGGAGCTTCAGAACTCTCTGGTTCTTGTTCATCATGTGCTGGTTCTGCTTCAGAAGAATCTCCTTGTTCAAACTCATTTTCCACATGTATCTGTGTAGTCTTTGACTTTTCAGCGCTACCATCTTCTTCTTTTCTTTGTAGCTTATCTTCTACAAAGATAACGACCCTACTAATGATAACTTTGCGGGCAGTGGGATCCCACAAACGATACCCCTTTACACTATCAGCATACCCCAAGAATTTGCATTTCCTGGATTTTTGATTCAGCTTTGAAATTTCTTGGGAGTTGTACATCACGTAAACAATACTTCCAAATATATGGAGGTTTGAATAATCAGCTGGTTTACCAGTCCACATCTCCATTGATGTCTTCAGCTCTATTGCAGTTGATGAAGCTCGATTCACCAAATAACAGGCGGTATTGACTACTTCTGCCCAGAATGATTTTTCTAGGCCTACAACTCTCAATATTGCTCTTGTTCTTTCTAACAAGGTTCTGTTCATCCACTCTGCCACTCCATTTTGTTGAGGAGTGTCGCCACTGTAAACTGTCTTTTGATGCCTTCTTTATTGCAAAAGTCATCAAATTCTTCACTTGTGTATTCTCCTCTATTATCTGTTCTGAAACACTTGATCTTATTTCCAGAATCAAGTTTCACCCGCGCTTTGAAGTTTTTAAAAGTGGAAAACACGTCTGACTTCTTTTTAATAGGATACACCCAACATCTCCTGGAGTAGTCATCAATAAATGAGACAAAGTATTTTGCCCGGCCTAGGGATGTAACTGGTGCTTGCCATACGTTTTAATGAACCAATTGTAGAACACTTTTGCCTCT